TCTATACAACGAAAGGAGACTGCGACCACACAAAAGGCCACACCATCTTGGTCTTCATACCTTCGAAAAGCCGGTAGTTTACTCTTTTCAAAATGATATGAGTATTTCTTTTGAGAAGCAGGGCTGTGTGAAAGGCAATGTCATGCGGGCGCGCTACGGTAACATGAGGCCTACTTGTATGACTGTTGGAGAATTCAACCTTCAATCTTTCCTTGCCTCAATTTAAATAAGATGGATTCAATTCTTATTTAAGAGGTGGTGCATGTTGGTTAAACTAACAAATGGAGGAATTTTTAATCCTCTGAAACCACTAGACTTAACGATGCCAACATGGAATTGGATGCGGTGATGATAAAGTTGCGCTCCAAACAGGCCGAACTGAAAGCTGTCGAGACAAAGATTGCCGCCTTGCAGGCCGAATACGACGGTTCATTGTCTGAGAAAAAGGTGCTTGAGCACAGTTTGGCGCTGACCAGTGCTCGCCTGAAACGGGCCGGTCGGCTGACAACAGCCCTGGCCGATGAGCAGGACCGATGGCATGTGTCGGTTGACGTGTTCTCGAGGCAGTTGGAGAATGTGGTGGGTGACGTCTTCGTGGCGGCGGCATGTATCGCCTATCTGGGAGCCTTCAATGCCGACTATCGGGCCAGCCTCGTGGAGGGTTGGACGGTGCGTTGTGTCGAGTTGTCGATCCCGATCAGCAACCAGGTGGGTCTTTTCAGTGTGCTCGGGGATGCCTTTGAGCTGCGTCAATGGCACACTGAAGGCCTGCCTCGAGATCAGGTGAGCGCGGACAATGCGCTTCTGGTGACCAGGTCGCAGCGGTGGCCGCTGATGATAGATCCTCAGGAGCAGGCGAATCGGTGGATCCGGACACGAGAGGCAGAGCGCGATCTGCACATTGTCAAGTTGACCGAATCCGGCTTCCTGCGCACCCTCGAGACGTGCATCCGTCTGGGCTATCCGGTTCTGTTGGAGGATGTCGGCGAAACGCTGGATCCAGCCCTTGAACCGATCCTTCTTCGCCAGACCTTCACTTCGGGTGGGCGTTTGTTGATCCGATTGGGCGACTCAAATGTCGACTATGATCGCAACTTTCGGCTTTACATCACCACCAAATTGCCCAATCCGCACTATCTGCCTGAAGTGTCGATCAAAGTGACCGTGATCAACTTCACCGTGACACCGGCCGGTCTGGAGGACCAGTTGCTGGGTGAAGTGACACGTTTGGAGCGTCCAGAACTGGAGGAACAGCGTAGCCAGCTGGTGTATCGCATAAATGCTGATAAGAATCAGCTTCAGGTAAGCAAAAACGACACCAAAATGACTTCATTTAAATTAAGACCAAGTGGGTTTTGATGAATCTTATGGACTTTCTTTTATTATGAAAGTGCATGAAGAAGAGAATTGTAGGTCGATCTCACCAGAAGAGGACGGGTGAATCTCGTTGTACTGCAGCCGCTTGGCTTTAATACGA